GGTTAAATACCGTAAGATTGCTTGATCGCATGGTAAGAATGCATTTACTTTTGTAAGCAACCACCAAACCATCTTCCAAAGTGGCTATACCATTTTGTATTCCTATCCGCAATTAATGAGAGTTCCTATTGCTCTGTGTCTTTATCCGTATTTGCTGTTGCCAGTGTTCCAGATTTTGTCCATTCTAATAGGTGTATAGGGGCATCTCATTGTTGTTTTATTTTTTATTTATTTTTTTAAAGATTTTATTTATTTATTTATTAGAGAGCGAGCGAGAGACAAACAGCATGAGAGAGGAGAGGGTCAGAGGGAGAAGCAGGCTCCCCGCTGAGCCGGGAGCCCGATGTGGGACTCGATCCCAGGACCCTGGGATCATGACCTGAGCCGAAGGCAGTCGCTTAACCAACTGAGCCACCCAGGCGCCCCCTCATTGTTGTTTTAATTTGCCTTCCCCTGATGACATATCATGTGGAGTGTCTTTTCAGATGCTATTTATTAGTCATCTGTATATCTTCATTGGTGAGGTATTTGTTAAGGTCTTTTGTCCATTTTTTAGCTGAGTTATTTTTTTTCTTATTGTTGAGTTTTAAGAGTTATTTATATGTTTTGAATAGTCCTTCATCATATGTGCCCTTTGCAAATATTTTCTGATAGTTTGTGACTTGTTTTATCAGTCTCTTAACTTTGTCTTTTGCAGACCAGAAGCTTTTAATTTAATCAAGTCTAGTTTATCACTTATTTCTTTCCTGTAGTGTGTATTTGGTGTTGTATTTAAAAAGTCATCACCAAACCCAACTTAGTCTAGGTCTTCTTCAATAGTTATCTTCCCAGAGTTTTATAATGTTTCATTTTATATTTAGGTCTGTGATCCATGTGAGTTTATTTTTATAGTGAAAGGTATAAGGTTTGTGTTTAGATTAATTTTTTTTTGAATGTAGATGCCACTTTAGCCAGCATTACTTGTTGAAAAGATTATCTTTGTTTCATTGTATTACTTTTGTTCTTTTGTCAAAGCTCAATTGACTATATTTATGGGTGTCTATTTCTGGCCTCTCTATTCTATTCCATCTATCTATTATCTATTTTCTATTATTTTCTTAATGTCAAATTGTCTTGATTATGTAGCTTTATACTAAGTCTTAAAGTTGGGTAGTGTCAGTCCCACAACTTTGTTTTTCTCCTTTATACTGTAATCTTTTGCCTCATCATATGAATTTTATAATCAGTTTCTTGATACCCAAAAAATAACTTGTGGGATTTTGACTGAGACTGCATTGAATCTATAGATCAAGTTGAGAAGAACTGACATCTTGACAATATTGATTCTTCCTATCCATGAGCATGGAACATCCCTCCATTTATGTAGTTCTTATTTGATTTTGTTCATTAGAGGTTTATAGTTTTCTTCATATTGATCTTATACATATTTTGTCAGATTTATACCTAAGTATTTTATTATAGGGTGGTGCTAATGTAAGTGGTATTGTATTTTTAATTTCAAATTCCACTTATTCACCGGTATATAGGAAAATGATTGATTCTTGTGGATTAACCTTGTATCCTTCAGTCTTGCTATAATTCCTTATTAGAGCCAGGAGGTTTGTTTGTCGGTTCTTTCAGATTTTCTACATAGATTATCAAATAATCTGCAAACAGAACAGTTTATTTCTTCCTTCCCAATCTGTATTCCCTTAATTAACTTTTCTTATCTTATTGTATTAGCTAAACTTCTAGTACTATGTTGAAAAGGAATGGTGAGAGGGGACATCCTTGCATTATACCTGATCTTAGAGGAAAAGCTTTGAGTTTCTCATGACATTAATTTTGTTTCTTTCCATCTTTTTTTAATGGTGGTAATAATTCAAAATTACTCATTTATTACCAAGTATTAAAGGATTTTTAAAATTTTGAGGATAGTTTATTTTATATATATAAATAAATTTATTTGAGCATAGCTGGTTGATAAATATCTTTACATCGGGCAATGTTACATTAGTTTTACTGTTAAAATATCCATACTACCCAAAGCGATCTATAGATTCAATACAATCCCTATCAAAACACCAACAGCATTTTTCACAAAACTAGAACAAATAATCCTAAGATTTTTAGGGAACCACAAAAGCCCTAAATAACCAAGGCAACCTTGGGAAAGAAAAACAAAGCTGGAAGTATCACAATTGCCAATTTCAAGATACACTACAAAGCTGTAGTAGTCAAAACAGTATGGGACTGGCACAAAAACAGACACATAGATCCATGGAACAGAATAGAGAGCCTAGAAATAAACCCTAGCTTATATGGTCAATTAATCTTCGACAAAGGAGGCAAGAATGTACAATGGGAAAAAGACAGTCTCTTCAATAAATGGTGCTGGGAAAACCAAACAGCTACATATAAAAGAATGAAATTGGGCCACTTTCTAACAACACACACAAAAACAAACCCCAAATGGACTAAAGACAGGGGTACCTGGGTGGCACAGTCCATTAAGCATCCGACTCTTGGTTTTGGCTCTGGTCCTGATCTCAAAGTCGTGAGAGCAAGCCCCGTGTCGGGCTCAGAGCAAAGCGTGAAGTCTGCTGAAGTTTCTCTCTCCCTCTCCCTCTGACCCTCCCCTCTGCACATTTGCATGCTCTCTCTCTCTCTCTAAAATAAATAAATAAATATTTTTAAAATTGGCTAAAGACATAAATATGAGACCAGAAAACATAAAAATCCTAGAAGATAACACTGATAGTAATTTCTCTGACATTGGCCATAGCAACATTCTCCTAGATCCATCTCCTAAGGCAAGGGAAACAAAAGCAAAAATACTGATGTGTCTACATCAAGCTTTTGCACAAAAAAGGAAACAATCAACAAAATAAAAAGGCAACCCACTGAATGAGAGAAGATATATAAGAGAAGAAATGATATATCTGATAAGGGGTTAATATCCAAAATATATAAGAAACTTGTACAAGTCAACATTAAAAAACCAATCTGATTAAAAAATGGGCAGAGAACATGAGCAGACATTTTTCTAAAGAAGACATACGATGGCCAACAGATACATGAAAACATCACTATTAGGGAAATGCAAATCAAAACCACAATGAGATATCACCTTACACCTGTCAGAATGGCTAAAATCAACAACACAGGAAACAAAAAGCGTTGGCAACACTGCTGATGTGGAGAAAAAGGAGCCCTCATGCACTGTTGGACGGAATATAAGTTGGTAGAGTCACTGTGGAAAACAGTATGGAAAGTCCTCAAAAAATTAAAAATAGAAATACCATATGATTCAATAATTCCACCCAAAGAAAATAAAAAGACTAATTCAAAAATGTGTATGCACCCCTATGTTTATCACAGCATTTTTGACAATAGCCAAGATGTGACAGCAACTTAAGTGTCCATCAATAGAATGGATAAAGATGAAGAGGTATATATGTATATACATATATACATATACACATACAATGGAATATCATTTGGCCATAGAAAAGAATGAGACTTGCTATTTACCACAACATGGATGGACCTAGAAGGTATTATGTTAGATAAAATAAACCACACTGAGAAAGACAAATAATCTTTATATCTTTTTAATAGTGCTTTCTACTATTTGAGAATTTATTTTTTCCACATTTAACCACATCGATTTCATATATCCACATTTCCCTTTATAAATTTTGGATTATGTGTTATTCTTTAAATTTTCTCCAAATAATGATTAGCCACCAACTACATTTTAAATTGCATTGATTGCATTTAGGGTTACATAACTGCATATATTCGGCAAAAGTTATTGAATTGTATATTTAAAAATTAGTGAATTTTATTGTGTAAATTAATACAGTAATAAAATGATTCTAAAACTTAATAAGGGTTTATTGCATATATGCATTTGTGTGTGTGTGTGTGTGTGTGTGCATGTATATTTAAGCTGAAGGAGACTAACCAGGATCCCTGGAGTGAAGAGGTAATGATAGGAAGAAGGGACAGAGTTAGACATCTGAAGGGAACCAAAAGATGAAAGAACAATGATCACAATTAGTGCTGCTTCAGGGCTGTTGTTAAAAGGGAAAGCAGGGGCGCCTGGGTGGCTCAGATGGTTAAGTGTCTGCCTTCGGCTCAGGTTTTGATCCCCGGGTCCTGCGATCAAGCCCCACCTCAGGCTCCTTGCTCAGTGGGGAGCCTGCTTCTCTCTCCCTCTACCTGCTGCTCCCCCTGCTTGTGCGCGCTCTCTCCCTCTGGCAAATAAAAAAATAAATAAAATCTTAAAAAAAAATAGGAAAATCAATTTTTTTTTTTTGAGAACATAGAGATGAAGTATTTGACCTGAAAAAACTGAGGGGAGAAAGGGGAGAAGTAACTGATTTTTTAAAATTCCCTAATTCCTTATAGGCCTTTTAATTTTTATAATCTTTGCCGCATGCTACATGGATGTTTCTAGTTAGAAACATCATGTTTGTTTCGTGGGCTATTTGTAGAAAATTCATGTATAATTTTCTAAATAAATTTTTTGGCTGAAGGAGAAAGAAATTTGAGGGTGAGTTGGGGCAATGTCACAATGGAGAAGGAGGAGGAGACCAGGGGAGGAATGGAATATGCATTGCCCTTGTGACTTGTTTGGACCCCAAAGAAAGTCCAAGTTCAAGTTCCAGAAGAGCTACAAAGTATTTGTCTGAGAAATGGTGTCAGAGTACGAGGCAGAGCCATTTTCTCTCCCCTCCTCCCATCACCAACCATGCAACTAGCACAAATTTGATTTCCAAGATCTCTGGGCAGCAAGAGAATGCATAGTGGTGGAAAAATAAAATACTGGGATGCAAGCAGGCCAGGAAGAGTCTAGAACAGGATGGTAAGCAGATTTCTGGTTTTATTGTTTCACTTGAGGAGCAGAAGGCAAGGAGAGTAGCTGGGGCGTGGATTAGAGTCTGTGGTTTGGGGATCCCAGGGCAAATAACACAGTTGGTGTCAGAGGTGAGCAGATGGAATTAGGGGAGAGGATTCAGCCTTCTGAATCCCAGGGCAGAGGGACCCACCAGCCCAGAGCTCAGAACCTTCACTGAGACAACTCAGCCCCTTGGGCAGGCCCAGCAGGGGGAGCAGGAACAGGAGGAGGGCTTTGGCCACTCGCTGTCCCCAAGCCTGCGCTCCTTGGCTCAGGGTCCACTTCAGCAGCAGCCTCCAGACGACTGACCGCTGCCCCCTCCACAGCAGCTGGAGCCCCCCGAGGGCTGGCTGCAGCAGCCAGGGCTCTGGTGTCTGTGACGGTGGGAACTGCGTCGCCTGTGGTGGCTCAGGCAGCAGCCGCCGCCCCCAGAGCTGCAGCAGCCTCCGCCCCCAGAGCTGCAGCAGCCGCCGCCCCCAGAGCTGGAGCCGCAGCAGGAAGAGACTGGGGGGCACTTGGGGGGGCACTTGGGGGGGCACTTGGGCGTGGGACACTTGGGAGGGGGCTGGCACTGCTGCTGGTTCTGCTGGCAGGACATCTCGGCTGGCAGGGTCAGGAGCTGAGGGAGAGTCACACAGTGAGTCAGACCCAGGACCCTGAGCCCCCCTGCCCCACCCCTTCCTGTCCTCAACATCATTTCTAGTGCCTTTATTTGATGAACTGTTTAAATGGAGTCCTTGATAATTCAACAGAGAGACTTTCATTATTTCTAATAGTTCCCCAAATGCCCTCACATCATCTCTGGAGTGCTTCATCTGTTATAGAATTAGAGAACTGAAGCCAAAATATGTTAAGAAAAAGTGCTCAAAATCAAACATCTAGAGGAGATATTCTACAGCAAAAATCACGGAAATAGTAAATCTAGGTGACAGTTTAGAAATGAAATTGTTTCTTTAGGGAAAACAGTCATTCCCTCTTGCAGAACTTTCTAGATATCCTTGTCCTGTAGGGACATAGAAGTCCACACCCGCAAAGGACATTGCAGATTGGCTGGAAGAATGAGCTGAGGGAGAAGATAATTTACTGTAAGCTGGGACTTGCACCGGGCCCCTGACCGGGCCCCGCTGCCCTGGCATCTTGCAGACGCTCCCCTCAAACTAACACCTCAGCATCAAGATTTGAGTTGTTCCTACTCAACTCTGAAGTCCTTTTGTCTGAGTGCTTAAAATAAGTCAGTCAGTTGTGATTTCCTCTCTGCTGGCTGAGTGTCACTGTTCCCATCTTTACTTTTCCCTGGAGGGACAGTTATGCTTTCAAAGATAAACCTCCCTGTTGACAACAGTTATGGGTTGGTATGGTGGTCAGTGTTGCAAATCCTTCCAACCAGAGACCAACAACTACAGATCAGTTTGTTTTTTCTAGTGTACTGTCACACTCACACAGTTCCTTCTACTCATGTTCGCAGCCTTCCTAGCTCCTTGCCCCTCCCTCAGTGTCCCTGCGACGTGTTCTTTGCTAATATGAACCCAACCTCATCTTCTTCTCACTGCCACCCACCACACACACACACACACACACACACACACACACACACACACTGCAAAGGCTCTGCCCCCCACCCCCCACCTCCTGCTCTGGTTTGAGCTCCCTCTGCGGAAGGCTCTGCTTTCAGTCCCAGGGGACACTTACCGGTGCACAGGCAGCACTGGGTCTGTCAGCACCTCAGGAGAGGAGTGTATGGAGGTGCTCTGACTCTGAAGCCCTTTTATCCCGGCTTTGGGCTCTGCCCTCAGCCTGTGAGACAGGACCTGGGCACGAGGGGACTGCCTCCTGCCACCCACGAGGTCCTGTGACAGGTGGTGACTGGCAGCTCCTTCCTGCCTCCTTCCATGGGGCTCAGAGCAGCTGCTCCCAGCTTGGAATAGGGCTGCTTAGAAATGGGGTAGAGGGTAAATTCCTACCACTATCTATCAGTCAGTACTCTAGCCTCTCATTCTTGGAACCCATACTCCTAACCCCAACTTCCTTTCTTTACTCCCAAATGTTAATTTAATGATTACAATCAACCTGGTTTAAGCCAAAATTTTAATATATTCCTTCATGTTTTATTCCATGCTGGTAATCCTGATACGTTCAATATTATAGTGTGTGTGGTTTCAGTTTTGTAGAAATGGCATCATACTTGAGGTTCTCATCTGCAACTTGCTCTCTTCTTTAAACATTATTTTTGTATATTATTCAAGTTGATCTGTGTAGCTGTCATTTATTCATTTTTACAACCGTATAGTATCCATCTTACGAGCACAGTGTGATTTTGATATCCTGTCTCTTTGGGTTGTGCATTCAAGTTGTTTGCACTACTTGCCCTATAAATATTGCAGTTTTGGGGATATTTGTGTGTGTGTGCTTGCGTATGTGTTGGAGAGGATCTCCAAGTTAATCATCTATAAGTGGAAGCGTTGAATTTTCGATCATACTCATCCCTCCAATTTGCTCTTGTCAATTTCTGTTTCCACTTACGGTTTATAAGAATCACTCTTTCTGTACATTGTTGCTAAACTTAAATAACTGCCATTTGATGTATGTTAATTGATATTCCCTTGTACTTTTTTTATGTGTTTCCTGCTTAGTAATAATCATGACCATCTTTTCATGTTTGTTGATCATTTTTGTTTACTTTTCTATGAATTATTTGTTCTTTTTAAAAAAATTTCTATTTGCCTCTTTTTGTTAGGATCTGTAAGTTCTTCACATATTCTGGTTTCTAGTGCAGCATCTTTTAAAATTTTATTTTATTATGTTATGTTAATCACCATACATTACATCATTTGTTTTTGATGTAGTATTCCATGATTCATTGTTTGTGTATAACACCCAGTGCTCCATTCAATATGTGCTCTCTTTAATACCCATCACCAGGCTAACCCATCCCCCCACCCCCTTCCCTCTAGAACCCTCAGTTTGTTTCTCAGTGTCCATAGTCTCTCATGGATTTTCTCCCCCTCCAATTCCCCCCCCCTTCATTTTTTCCCTTCCTACTATCTTCTTCTTCTTCTTCTTCTTCTTCTTCTTCTTCTTCTTCTTCTTCTTCTTCTTCTTCTTCTTCTTCTTCTTCTTCTTTTCTTCTCCTTCTCCTTCTCCTTCTCCTCCTCCTCCTCCTCCTCTTCCTACTCCTCCTCCTCCTCCTCCTCCTCCTCCTCCTTCTTCTTCTTCTTCTTCTTCTTTATAACATATAATGTATTATTTGTTTCAGAGGTACAGGTCTGTGATTCAACAGTCTTACACAATTCACAACGCTCACCGTAGCAACACCCTCCCCAATGTCTACCACCCAGCCACCCCATCCCTCCCACCCCCCACCACTCCAGCAACCCTCAGTTTGTTTCCTGAGATTAAGAATTCCTCATATCAGTGAGGTCATATGATACATGTCTTTCTCTGATTGACTTATTTCGCTCATCGTAATACCCTCTAGTTCCATCCACATTGTTGCAAATGGCAAGAACTCGGGTTTTTTGATGGCTGCGTAATATTCCATTGTATATATATATACCACTTCTTCTTTATCCATTCATCTGTTGATGGACATCTTGGCTCTTTCCATAGTTTGGCTATTGTGGACATTGCTACTAGAAACATTGGGGTGCACGTAGCCCTTCGGATCCCTACATTTGTATCTTTGGGGTAAATACCCAGTAGTGCAATTGCTGGGTCGAATGGTCGCTCTATTTTCAACTTTTTGAGGAACCTCCGTACTGTTTTCCAGAGTGGCTGCACCAGCTTGCATTCCCACCAACAGTGTAGGAGGGTTCCCCTTTCTCCGCATCCTCGCCAACATCTGTCCTTTCCTGACTTGTTCATTTTAGCCATTCTGACTGGTGTGAGGTTTTAATTTGGATTTCCCTGATGCCAAGCGATGTTGAGCACTTTTTCATGTGTCTGTGGGCCATTTGGATGTCTTCTTTGGAAAAATGTCTGTTCATGTCTTCTGCCCATTTCTTGATTGGATTATTTGTTCTTTGGGTGTTGAGTTTGATAAGTTCTTTATAGATTTTGGATACTAGCCCTTTATCTGATATGTCATTTGCAAATATCTTCTCCCATTCTGTCGGTTGTCTTTTGGTTTTGTTGACTGTTTCCTTTGCTGTGCAAAAGCTTTTTATCTTGATAAAGTCCCAATAGTTCCTTTTTGCCTTTGCTTCCCTTGCCTTTAGCGATGTGTCTAGGTCTAGTGCAGCAGTATTAAATGAGTTGTGAACATCTTTCCTCTTGTTTGCTTTTTAATGGGTCATTTCTGAGCAGGTAATTTATTTTTAATATAGCTCTATCTTTGCATCATTAACAAAGCTATGTGCACTTTTCATGACTTTATGAAGTCTCAACCATTCATAAGCTCAGAAATCTGTTCTTTTCTGCTTTCTTAAAAAAAGTAGTAAAGACTAATTTTCTTTTTAAAATTAAGGTTTTTCTTTAACCCAGAATGGAATTTTTGTACATTTTATGTTTATTTTAACATTTTTTTCCAAATGGATAATCAGTTGTCTATCATAATCAAATATTTTATTTTCCCAGTAATTTGAAATACCTCCTCAGTCATAACTGAGTTTCCACATTTGTGTAGCTCTGTAACTGGCCTGATCATTCTTTTCACTGCCAATTTGTTTATCCCAATGATAATATCCTGCTGCCTTAATTACTATAGGTATGTAATCAATTGTGATATCACATAGGTTCCATAACTTTGCCCCCCCCTTTAAGATTGTCTTGGTGATTACTAGAGCTTTGCTCTTTCATATAAAATTTAGAGGCAGCTTGTCATTTGACACAAATGAAAGTAAAGAAAAGAAAATATCTTTAGAATTTTGATAGAAATATCACTAAATATATGCATTTATAAATGAAGAAATGTAAGATTTTTTTCCATAATTTCCCTTTTGAACCATCCTTGAATATGGTATATCTATCTCTCTTTTGGTATTCTGCGATGCCTTTCAGTAACGTCTCCTCATTTTATCAAAAATATTTCACACTAATATTTTAGACACTATAATTTTTGCTATCTTAAATAGCAACTTTTAAAATTATAAGTTTGAATTATCTATTCTGGTAAATATAAATCTAATTTATTCTGTATTATGCTCTTATATCTTATAACTTTTCTAACTCTTACTATTATTTTTACTTCTTGTGGTAATCGTTCTTATGCACATGATTTTTTTTATCAAAGCTTTTCTTTCTCCTTGGGTTACATTCTTAGAAGCTCAGTTGTTATATAAAAGCGATTATGCTCATTTTAAAGCATGCTCATTTTAAATTTTAATTTGTATGCATAACAATTATGTGTTGAATAATGAATCGCCAAATTTCCACCCAGATGGTTATGGCAATTTATATTTCCAACAACACTAAGACCCATTTCTGATCACCTTCAACAATACTGAGCTTTGTTATCTGTCTTAAGTTTTTCCCAGTTCAGTATAAAGGAATAAATCTAATAGAACTCACTCTTGAAAAGTCATCACTGTTTTATATGTAGTTCTTTGGTTATTTGTATGCATAAACATAGATTTATGCAAATCTATGCAAAAGATTTATGCA